GGTCTTACTTTGGTGTCAGCTCCCCATTTGGCACGGTCTTACCATCATTTATTTCCTTTGGATGCTTTTCAAGAAATTCCCCTAGAAGAACATCATGGAGAAAGGTATATGAGTTTTGATTAACATATCTGTTATATGTGGTAAGCTAATGTTTGAATACATTGTTACTACCTTTAAAAAGATAGTCATGTTAAGGGAGCACCTGTGGCTCAAGGAGTAGGGCGCCAGCCCCATATACCGGAGGTGGTGGCTTTCAAACCTGGCCCCTGCCAAAAAAAAAAACCTAGTCATTTGGACAGAAGTACTTCTAATATAGAAAATGAATTGACTATGCCTTGGTTATGACTGAAATGACTCATTATTAAATAGATCTCGATCTCCAGAAATCTATTAATTTCCCTAAACCCACCTATGTATAATTAAGAGTGATGGTATACTGATAAATAAGTTCTCCAAAAAGTGAAAAAGAGCTCTGATTGGTAGATTTGCTGATTTTCATGGTATGTGTGCCTACCATGTCCAATTTGTAGCTACTAATTAACAACCAGCTCTCAAAATTCCTAAAAACATACTTAATGGGTGAGCTGGTACTGGCCAACTCTAAATACCACTGGAAATAAGAGGCTGGCATAATATAATTAATCTAAAACCAATAAGTATTCACTTTATTATTCACTAATAAAGTCTGAAGTCGAGCTGGTCAATCTTTTGTAGAAAGTTTTTGGGAAATATTTATTGCTTTTAAGAACATGTAGGATTTAGGAATCATGTTTAATACTTATCGGCTAGCAGACAATTATGTATCCATCCATCTCCTTGCTTTTCACATTTAGAAGTCATTTCATATCAGCGTATCTAGATTAATTTTGTTTTTGAAACTGTCATGTATATTTTATGGATGTTTCGTGTATATAACCAATTGCCTACTGTTAGATACTTAAGACCATTTGTTTTGCTAGTAATACTAACAAATAACGTTCATATCACTACCTTTAAACATGTATGCAAGTACAAATGCATAGTAAATTCTCAGTGGCAGAATTGTAGAGTCAAAAGTAATGTATGTTTGTGAATTTTGGTAGGTGTTATAAAGTTGTTCTTCAAAGAAATTTCATTTATTGTTTTCCATCAGTGGCCAACATTAGGTATTATGAAACTTCTTGGTATTACCCAGAACCTACAAGTAAAACAAACAAACAAAAAAAACCCTCACGATTTTAGTTTGTGTTTATGTTTTTTTTTTTTTTTTTTTGCGGTTTTTGGCCGGGGCTGGGTTTGAATCCACCACCTCTGGCACATGAAGCTGGTGCCTTACTCCTTTGAGTCACAGGCGCTGCCCTTAGCTTGTGTTTATTTACTCTTCTGGGTGAGGTTTAGTATAGAAATGAAAAACCTTGGGAGTAAAGATAAGAAAACTGGTGGATTTACCAGAGTTTTCAATATCAGAATAATATGAGAAAAAAGAAAAGATATCTTATAAGGGTACCAGTAAATCTTTCTAAAAGTAGAATATAAACGTCTTAACACAATAACTAAGAAAATGACATAAAGGCTATGTTAACCAGGTTGATGAAAATATTTCAAATTGTATATGAAGACACCACACTGTGCCCCATGATTATACTAATGTACACAGCTATCATTTAGTTAAAAAAAAAAAAAGATAAAATACAGAGTTGAATATCATCAAAGAAATAGGTTAAGAAGGAAATTTTCTATTATTGAAGTCCCTTTTCTAGATTGAAAACTGTAAAACTTCAGAATATGCAGCAAAATACTGTCTGTAAACATTTCCAGAGAGGAAAATTAAGTCACATGCAAAGGTTCTAGAATTAAAATAGTCTGACTTCTCGTCAAAATTTAGGGTGAAAGGGCGGCGCCTGTGGCTCAAAGGAGTAGGGTGCTGTCCCTATATCCTGGAGGTGGCGGGTTCAAACACAGCCCTGGCCAGAAACTGCAAAAAATAAAAAATTTAGGGTGAAAATTACTACCAGCTTACATAGCCAGCCAAGCTATCAGTTGAGTGTGGGTAGAATAAAGACATTTCAGACTTGTAAGGACTTGTAAGATTTTCTGGGGAAACTCTAGAAGAGGTGGGTGATTCAAATTATGAGGGAGAGCGTCATTGGCTCTAAGAATATGGTCTAATTCAGAACAGGCTAAAGAAAGCCCTAGGGTGGTAGTGAGGAAAGATCTCAGAGAGACAACTGTATATCAGGTTTGGAGAAGGTCAAATGCTCCAGGAGAGATGTCACCAAGAGAACAGAAACTGTAGAATTCCTGATACATTTGAACATATTGAGAAGATATTTAGATTATTCTTTTTTTTTTTTTTTTTTTTGAGACAGAACCTCAAGCTGTCCTCTTGGGTAGAATGTCGTGGCATCACAGCTCACAGCAACCTCCAACTCCTGGGCTCAAGCGAGTCTTCTGCCTCCGCCTCCCAAGTAGCTGGGACCACAGGTGCCTGCCACAACGCCTGGCTGTTTTTTGGTTGCAGCCATCATTGTTGTTTGGCGGGCCCGGGCTAGATTCGAACCCACCACCTTAGGTGTATGTGGCTGGTGCCTTAGCCACTTGAGCCACAGGCGCCGAGCCGATATTTAGATTATTCAGTGAAGGAGTTTGGGGTCACCATATGAGGAGGTCTTGGGGAGAGGAATGAAGAGGCTTGACACAAAGTCTGTGTCAAGGGACTGAGGAACTCTGAGAGGAGCCCTCCCGAGTGTACCTTGGAGTACCTCCCGAGTGTATCACAAAGCAGGAAAATATACTTAAAAATTATCAGACATTAGCATTACAAAAGGAGGAATATGGAAAGTGTTAGGCAGAATATCTCCAATTTGTTTTGTAAAATCTCAAATCTTTTTTTTTTTTTTTTTTTTTTTTTTTTTTTGAAAGTTAGCTATGACAGGAAAAATC